GGGCGTGTTTGTTTTGGTGATTTCAAATGTCAACATTGGCTACCAGAAATCGCTTACCCCACCTTTAATGACAGAATTTATTTTTGGGTGAACTATGCCTTTAATAGTTTGTGTGTCATCTTTCAACGCAGATTATTTTGTGAACTTGTCACTTGTCATGTAGCTGTCAGACTCTGTTCCGTGTTTGTTTTCCTCATGTGCCTTCCTTTCCCATGTTTAATTTGTCCCAGGTGTTTCCCTTGATGTTTCATTGCTCCCAAGTGTGTCTCGTCATCCCCCTCCTCCTGTCTGTATAAATAGTGTTCCCTGTGTGTGCTCCAGTGTCCGGTATTGTTCATGTCTATGTCTACATGTATTGCGTGAGTGTTCCGTGTTCCTTTGTGTGAATTAAACCCAGTTGGATTGATGTACTCCTCGTCTCTCTCCGTTCCTTGCTCCTCACCCCTCCTCCTGTGTGTATAAATAGTGTTCCCTGTGTGTGCTCCAGCGTCCGGTATTGTTTATGTCTACTCTTCGTGCTACGTGTGATTCCCCATGAAGATTAATAAATTCCTTGATTGTTGTACTCTTGGTCTCGTTCCTTGCTCCGTGTTCCCGCACCGTAGCAGATCGTGACAGTAGCACAGGTTTGTAAAGAGGCTGTCATTTATGGTTTGGGCAGTGGCACTTATTTTGGACTCTACAGCAAACAATCCATAAGCTGTTATTCATTTCACCTAAAAAAGGTGGTCAACCAGAAACACAGGTCGTTTGCATAGTGGTCTTCAAGGTATAGAAGAAAAAGATGTTTATTTCTATGGGTAAAGGGTAATGTTGATCTAACTCATGTCTGATTTTGTGCTTAAAATCTTGACTATCATTCGATGTGGAATAATATAAAAAAATATAGCCTCTTTAAAATAAAAAAGCAGCATTCTTACCTTGGTTAGTGCCTGTTCTGTCCTCTCTGGGGCGCTACGGTATGCCTGTGTGACATCACTGAGTGGGATAGGCATGTACTGCAGAGTGAAGTTACTGAGGAGAGAGCAGAAGACCATCGAGAAGCAGGATAAAAGTTTTCCCCAAACATCGCAACACGAGAGAGAAGAATGAGCTCTAGGAAGCTGGAAAGTGTTACACGCTGTCTATTTGTGTCTCAGAAACAAGTTGTTTTTTCTTCCTTTCATTCTTTTTAACTTTTAACAGAGTACCATGTTTCTTTCAACACCTTTCAAAGCGATCTGTACTGAGAACATCTTTCTTACAATGATTACAGTCCTCTGAATGCAAGCTCAAGTCTGCAAAAAAGTTTCTACATTAAATAATATTTGTGTAGATCTCAGGGAAGAGAGGTGTTTCCAGAACAATGCTCTAATTGTGCATCACAGGCAGGCCAGTGAGGTGATGAAAGACTGTGCAATCACAAACAGCTTCATGTAGGCATGGACTGAAGTTCTTATTTTTTCCCAGTAACAGCATGCTGTGAATAAGTTTCCAAAGAGATGAGTGAGTCAGTGCTCAGAGGGGTGAGCAAACAATGACAATTTTATATTACTAAACCCCTATCCATTATTTATTGTTAATAAATGCACCCATAGGCCCATAGGTGCACAAACAAATTAAATCTATTACGTCTGTTGCTAACAAAGTGAATATGAATAGACAGTGTCGATTGCGGCATTAAATTAAGATCTGCTCATGTTGCACCATATTTCATTTTAGGTGTTTTTACAGTGTTGCGCATTTTAACCAATCACACACATATCTGTTGAGCTTAGGAATGAGTCATCGTTCAAACTCATTAGTTTTGTTAAGTGAGCGCGCGTTCGCTGACTGAATTCTTCACAGACTTTTAAGAAGGGATAGATGTTTTAGATAGATAGATAGATAGATAGATAGATAGATCTTTTTTTTTTATGTGAGAAAGTCAAACCATTTTTTATTGAATAGATCGGTAGGTTATAAAATGACAGTGTTATAAAATCATGTTTATGACAGAAAAGTCAAGGGACATGTTTATCACCATATTTAAAAAAAATGATCCATTAGCAAATTAGCTAAAACATTTCATTACAAAAAATGCCAAGTGCACAGGATGTAGGACATCATAAATTGTGTGCGATCAGAATTTTGCTGAACTTTGCAAAGCTTTCTATGGAAAAGAATATATCATTCAAAGATCTACGATCAAATTTAGCCAGCGCAAACCCTCTGTAAGATTTACTAAAGACATGCAATAAAAAAAAAGAAAAAAAGGTGTGGACAGTTAATTTTGCAACTGTCCTTAAATCATATGCATTTGCAGGAGTTTCCCTTTCAGACGCAAAATTTTTGGGAGGAGAGTATTTAAAATAATAATACAAGATGATTTACTAAAGTTGGCAATTTGCTTATATTTGTGTTATTATTTAACGTCCCCCAAAAAAGCATGTCTTTGTCCATTTTGCTCCTGTATTGTTAGTAGATTCCCCACACCTAATTATCATCAGCTCTGCTCGCTTGTGACCCTACACTAATTTGGTACACTCCGCTGGTCAATATGGATATGATCTGGCTGTGTCTGTGTTCTTTAATTTGCACTTTGTCATTATATCACCCGCAGCATTTTCCACTCTCATCGGTGCATTTATTGGTTTGCAGTCTCATGCTAATTTGCCCTGTTTAGTAAATCTGGCCCCTAGTCCTTGACATATAAAGTTAATAGTTGGCTTCTTGGTTAACAGGTATTATACTGTGCATTTTAGCACAGCTGGGATGCTGTATGGACCGATCAGCATCTTGAACACTCCTTTTTGTAATTCATATTACAAAACCCCGAGTACCTGAGCGTGGTGTTGATCTGTAGAGCTTTACTGAGCATCCGCGCTCCTGTGTCATCGAGTCCATTCCCGCTCAAGTCCACCTTCTTCAGACAGGCGTTGCTACCGAGGGCGTTCACAAGCACCGTGCCCCTCGAACGCAGCCTGGAGTCAGCCAGAGACAAGCTCTGCAGGGCCTGCCAGGAAAGAGGAGCAGTGAGAGAAAAGAGTGTGTGTGTGTGTATGTGTGTGCGAGTTTGCAATGTCTGTGATCTGTAAAAACAGTGCTTAATAATTGATCAAGCAAGGCGATATCTGCAGTGAGAGGACTACGTGCCCTGAAGGAGAGAGATTAGAAAGAAAGGAGAGCGAGTGAAGGAAGGACGGATGAATCACTAGTGCTGTAATACACACAGCAGACTGTTAAAAAGCTTTTGTACTCTGTGTATGTGTGTGTGTGTGTGTGTGTTTGAGTCCTGAAAGTGTGTAAGGTGCATACAGAAAACAAAGCGTTATGTCCATGTGTATGTGTGTGCGTGTGTGTGTGTGTGCGTGTGTGTGCTTGTGAAATACAGACACACTCTTCCTCTTGCACCAGATGCACTAGTTTCTGCAGAACCTCGTCCAGAACCCTGCAAGCACAGGAAATAGCAGGATTTACACGCACGCGCACACACACACACACACACACACACACACACACACACACACACACATATAAACTCCATCAACTCCAAGATTAATGACACTTCACACACCTCCCCTCAGTCCCTCCTCTGCCTCCCTGAGAGCCTCCTACTGTGTGCTCACATTGGGTTTGTGATTGCAGATGGTTTCACAGGCTTTTCTAACCTGCTTACCTCAACTGCCTGTCTCAGAGTGGATATCTGTTGTAATCTGTGTACTGCACGTAAGCTCTATCAACATCTACTCTATGTCATTCCAATTCATTTGGAATAAACCCTCAATCTGTGAAAACAAACATACGACGCTTGCATTAAAGCATTTACAATGGAAGCATAAAAGGGAAGCAGGCAGCAGCATAAAAAAGTGTTTGAAAATTACAACTGAAAATGGTATGGTAGAATCACGTACAAACAATCTAGAAAGTTAAAACAACCTTTCAGCTTGAGTTTAATGTTTTAAAACTGATTACAAAAAAACAAAAACTGATTTTGAGATGTAGGAACATGGAAAGGGGGTAACAGCTCATATTGGACTGTTTATATGGATTAAACTCCACCCACATGAATGACTAACATATTTCATTAACATATAATTAGAATAGAGCGCAACAGTGACTGCCCTTTTTTCAGCCATTTTAATTTTGGAAATAATTTTTTCCATAGGGATTTAAAAACAATCAACAAATACAGTCATTTGTGAGTATAAAAACAATTTATTTTGAAATTTCAGATGATGTATAAATCTCAATTTCGAAAAACTATTTCTGGTTTTGTGATCCAGGCTCAGCTATATATATATATATATATATATATATATATATGTACCATAAATGTCTTTACTTTTGATCAATTTAATGCATCCTTGCATCAATAATCCTTAATAATGTATTAATTTCTTTAAAAACTGACCTTTGAACTTTTGAATTGTAGTGTACATAATTGTGTGTGTAGATAGATAGATAGATAGATAGATAGTAGGGATATGCCGGTATCAAATTTTCATGTTGCGGTTAATTGCTAATGCTTTTATCACGGTATACGGTACTATCGCGATATTGAAATTTAGTTTAAAAAAAGTGCTGTCATAATACAGTATAACAGGTTTAATAACTTTTTTCTTATAACAAAAATAACTGAACATTTAAATGCAATAAAGCAATACAGAAAAATGTATAAAGTTAAAAGTTTTACAAGAGCGTCTCTCACATGTTCCGCCATGTGCTTCTCGTCCGCACTTATTTACATCAGTAAATACATTAGTGCGCACCCGTCTTTCACGCAGCATACAGCAGTGTTGTGCATTTTGACCAGTTTATGGGAAAAGTATTCTTAAAATGCATTCAAAATTCGGAATAATTTGTTATATATAATTATTCACGGTATTTAGAAGTGCCCACGATAACAATATCGTGCATATTCATTACCGTGATATATCGCATTACCGAATACCGGCACAAGTCTAATAGATAGATAGATATAAAGTACATAGAGACAGACTCAGTTACATTCGGTTTGCTGCAATTCTCTGATTGGTGGATGTTTCTTTTAAGGATTATATATAGTGCACTTCTGCACCTGGAATATGTCTATTAAATATTATTTTTCTAAAATGATGCTGTAATTACATTGATTTATGGCTTCAACAGAAACATATACCATCGATTTATAACCTGAGAGCTCATTGTAGTTTTGCCTTGAAAGTTTTATACAGTTAAAATGTATTCTCACCGTCCTAGAAAACTTGTCCCTTTTCAAATGGACAATTTAGACCATTTAGACAGCTCAAATAATATTTTTACTGTAGAAGTCATGTAAGTGCTTTGACAAAGTGTTTCACATTTCTCGTTTGCCAGCAAGGCTTCCATTGTAAGTGCACAACAGTAAACACATTTTTAGTTTTTTGGTAATCGACGACATGCCACAGATGCTGCTGATAGAGATTAAGATGTATTGAACCTTTAAGCAAGACACTTATCTTCAAACCGCTTCAGGCAGCCTGACTCTGCAGTCAAAATGCTTGATTGTAAGTCACTTTGGATACACTTCTGCCAAACAAATAAATGTATACATATATCACTGTCTACTCTATGATGTTTGCCTCTCAGTCCGGAAACAAGTACCTGCCCTTGATGTTAAAGTTCTTGCCCAGCAGCAGATGTTTGAGGGAAGGGTGTCTGGAGAAGGCAGGAATGACACAGAGGAGATCAGCATCCAGCCCTGAAATGAACACAGAAATGTACAGGCAGAGTCAATAGCGACTGAAGCAAATGCAACTGAGGGGAAAGAGACAGACTGAAGGTCGGTGGGAGCAGACAAAAGCTTCCTTTCATTTATGCAGTTAGATGTCTCACCGTTGTCTGAGATGTCCAGTGTGCTGATGCAGGAGACTCTGGGGAATAGGTCCTGTATTATCCCTGCTCCAGCAGACCTGAGCTGAGAGGCAGACAAACGGAGAGAATGAAAAAGAGATAGGGAATAAGGGCACACGGGGCTAGATAGAGAGAAGGAACACTCAAAGACTCTAACATGTATAATTTATGCTAGCATGCACTCATATTTTTTCCAATAGCTCAACTGAAAGAGCATGGTGCTAACAACACCAAGGTCATGGGTTCGATTCCCAGGAAACGTATGTACTGATAAAATAGATCTTATTCCACAGTCGCTTCTGCATTTTCATATTTAATTTATGGAAGCTTGTTTAAAAAATAAATAAGATAATTGCGACTTCTTGTCTCACAATTCAGACTTTTTTCTTGCATTTCTGAGTTTATATCTCAAGATTCTGACGTTTTTCCTTGCAATTCAGAATTGTGAGATATAAACGCAGAAATATAAACTGAGAAGAAAAGTCAGAATTGTAAGATATAAACTTACAACTGCAAGAAAAAGTTGGAAATAACAATTACAATCAGATTACAATGACCTTTTTTATTTTATGGCGGAAACAAAAAAAAGAATTGATAAAGTGTGAGAAAGAAAGTCAGAACTGTGAGTTTATATCTTGCAATTCTGAGTTTCTATCTTATAATTTGGAATTTTTTTTCTTCATTCTCATGCAAAAAGATGATTTGTAATTATCTTACAAAATTTGTAAGATAATTATTTCATTTTTTTTAAATTCTGTATCAGAAACAGGCTTCCATGTTAACATCACATCAAATCAGTGTTGGAATAGTTGTAATTATTTTGAAACCAGGGCTTGTTGTCACCTTTTACTCAAGTGAAGTAGATTTTTTTGAAGGTCAATTTCTGTGCAGGCACATAAGGTACATTATAGATAAAATTGTTTTGCTATTCTAAAATAAACCTAGCATTTTCATCAAAAATAAAGTAGATCCAGAATGACTCATCCATTAGAAATAGCTCTGCACATTTATCACTTTTTATAGTACATACGGGACCAAGCAGCATTTTTTTACTATTTTAGGTCTATTTAGAATGTATTATTCCTTACTTTTGCAAAATAATACTGTAGCCTGAAATTTATAATAGTTCTATCAAAAAAGGTACCACTGAAAAAGTTTTTAAACAGTTACACCGTTATTTATGTGAGGTAAATTGTCACACTTACATTGCATTCAAGATACACATTTATTAATTTTTTTATTAAAAACTTTATTAGGCAAAATTAAAGCAATTTATGAAACAGCAAACATGTAAAAAAAAACACCATTAAAAATTGTAATTACTAAATTGTATAAAATATAAATCCCTGACCTGAAGCCAATATACAAAATATACTGATATAGAAAATAAGCATTTGTGTAAATTGACTTTTGACTAAAACTTATATGCTATGATACTGTACTGTATAGCCTGTGTGACAACTAGCCCCAGTCGCCTCTATACATAGTTCAATACGAAATTATTTTAAAATCCACAATACAGATTCGAGGAAAGCAGCTGTTAAAATAGTTTGATTTGATTCGTTCCGAAAATCAATAAAACGATTTTGTGAGGTCAAAATAAGGCAATGCAGGCTCCACCGAGATAAACACACATTGCACTCTCAAAAGACACCTTGAAAGGTTTTCTGTCTGACTAATTCTGTAGCCGAGATATCTGTACACACAGCAGAGTGACCACAGACTGAAAGATTGAGGCTAGAGCCAACAGAGAGAACGACAGGCATTTAAAGAGCTCAAGCAAGATTTAGGTCCACAATGGGGGGGATGGGGTACCTCACAGCTGCTGATGTCCAGGTGTAGGTCAGTGATGTGAGGATTGGATGAAAGCCCAAGGAACAGAGCCCTGTGGAAGTGACAGTGAACAAACACAGGGACGTCATCATTACTGACAGCATTACATGCCTCGTTGAAGAGACTTAGCATTCTATTATGTGCTTTCATGGTTGATCTCCATAATAAATCAAATCAGAAAAGGTCTATATGGACACCGTCAAAGCGTTACGCAGGTCTTAAAGGATTAAGGGGAAAACAGCTTAGAGATTAGTTCGACTCTTCTGGTGTGGGCCGGTGCTGTTGACAGAAGAGAGCTAAAATCAGGTGTTCAGCTGGGTGGGACAGCCCGTCTTGCGCTCGGTTTGCGTTTGTGAGCCAGGAGGAGGTATGACCCTGTTTGAAATGCTTCGTTTGAAAACATTCTGGCTTTCCCAAAATAGCAGCTGCTGCGTGAACAGCTTGATTCTGACCTCAGTTAGGGGTGCAGAGCTCTAAAACTAGAAATGAATCCCCAGAGAGTTCTTCTAGCAGGCTTTTCACACTTGAAATTGTTAACCCTTCAATACATAGTTCATCCAGAGAGGACAAAAATGGAAAATGATTTGCAGTTTCCTTTGTAGTGCACAATAGTTTTCTTTTACGGACCCAACAGTTTATTTATTATGAGATGTCCATTAAGTGGACATGGATGAGAGTTCTTCTAGCAGGCTTTTCACACTTTAAATTGTTAACCCTTCAATACATAGTTCATCCAGAGAGAACAAAAATGGAAAATGATTTGCAGTTTCCTTTGTAGTGCACAATAGTTTTTATTATGTCTGTATAGGTTTTTTATTAAGTTTTAGTTTTATTTAATTTGAGTTATTTCAGTACTTCAACATACAAAATGGAAATGAAATAATATATATATATTGAATGTATTTATATATATGTACATGTATATGTATATGTGTGTGGCTGTACATACACATATGTAGTTGTTTTTTGGTGTTTGGCTTAGTGTTATGTTAGAATCATTATTATACTCATACCTTTTGTTCTTTTAATATTTTGAATTGTTTTTAGCTTTATTTTTTTGTTTTCATTTAAATGTTTAGTTTTGAAATTTTGTTGTATGCATTTGTCATTTTTATTTAATTTCTTTTATTTTCTTAAATGTGTATATATATATATATATTTATAGAGTTTTAGCTTTTAGTTTTAATTACTTTTTCTTATTTGTAAGTCGCTTTGGATAAAAGCGTCTGCTAAATGACTAAAAGTAAAGTAAAGTAAAAGTATATATGTGTGTGTTTGTGTGTGTTATACAATCCCAATCAGAAGGTTAGGTTTAGTATTACTTTTTTTATTCATCTAAGACACATTCATCAAACATAACAGTAAAGACAATTTTAATGGCACAAAAGATTTCAAGTAAATGCTGGTATTTTTAAATGTTCTATTCATCAAAGAATCATGAAAAAAATGGCAGGGCAGCACAAATGTTTTAACATTGATAATAATAAAAATGGGCCATTTAGCTGAGCATGTTTTCCAAAAATGATTACTTAAGCATTACACTTTTTGGGTGAAATGTGGTTGACTCTGTTCAGCAAGCCCTTCAAATCTATATTACATTAAAAAAATGTGCTTGCCTTTAAAAATGTACAAAAATGAATCCACATGTTCAGATTGATTTCAATGCTGCCTACATGCTGAGATTAAATCTCGGTATTTTTGAAAACTGCAGTGATAACTAATGATTTTTGTATTTAAAGAGATAGCTCATCCAAAAATGAAACTTGTCAACATCTACACTCAGAAGATAATTTGAGAAATGTTTTTTATTTGGCCATACAGTGAAAGTCAATGGTCACCAAATGGTTTGGTTATACCAGCATTTTCTTATGTATTCGGCAGAAGAAAGAAAGACAACATGGAACATGAGGGTGAGTGACTGAATTTTCATTTTTGGGTGAACTAGAGTATGTAGCACTTGAATAGTAGAGATGTGCTCTACCAAAGCTTGGGTTAACGTGGCCTGGGTTATCTTGTTCCATACAAGTCTAAAAACAGCTTAAACCAGCCTAATGTAGTTAGCTTATCTCCTAGAATGTGAAAAGCTGGTTTGTTGGATTTAGAGAGGTTTTGGGAAATTGTCAAATTGGTCAGACTAGGAGACCAGCTGGCTAACCAGCTAGGTCGTGCTGGGTAATTAACTAAACCAGATTAAACTAGCTAAGACAGGGTTAAACGCAGCACAAAAAGCCAAAACGGCGACTGGACTCACCTCAGCACGTCGGGAGGCATCTTCATAGATGCCAGACTGATGTGAGTGAGGCTGAATGCTGAACTGAAGAACTGACGGAATGAAGGAAGTGTCTCTCTCACTTTCCTAAAAGTGTGAGAGAAAAGAAGGGGAGACTTTTATCCATAACACATCATACCACACTTCACAAAACCCTGAGCAATACGGCAGAACAAGGGCTCAAAAGAATACCCTCTGGCTTATTAGAAAATAACTGGTTTGTAACTCTATTACGTGTTAAACATTTTAACAACGTTCAACATTTTAACAAGCTGTCATTGGACCAAACAAACAATTATTTGGGTGGGATAGAACTAGATGGGGAAAATGAGAAAAAGAGAGAGAGAGAGAGACAGTCAGTGAGGGATACTGGGGGGCTAAAAACATGACAGTTCATGATAACACTTTTGCGTTTGACAGTGACATTATCATTTAAGAGAGAGAGAGAGGGAAGAATGTGCGGTGTAAATGTGTTAACAAGAGTAGAGAGTGTTAAGGGAACATTCCTATTTAATATTCATGAGCTCTCTGTCTTATCAGCTCAAACAGATTTACATTGCTGCCTTCACATGGCACTGGCGTAGCCAGATTTACTCACACACACATGCCCACACACCTCTCACGGAGGTGCCCATGTGTGCGGTGGTTCTGTGTTTGGGTGTGCATGTTTCTGAGTGCTTACGTTAACAAGTGTGGGAGTTTAGGTGGGAGTTTGTGAAAGGATGAAATTAGCACTAGGAAAAAGAGGCCATGCTCACTATAGCATACTAACACAGTACTCTATAATACCGCTGCAGTGTATACTACGTATACTGAGCACAATATGCAGTGACCCACTACATTTGCCAAATTTAGAAGGCCCAGAGTGATAATTATAAGGAGAATATATACTTATATTAGCGTTCACACCAATGCACGATAACGTTAAGTGCTACTGTGCTACTGTTTTGTCCTCTACTGCTTTAAGTGCTCAATCTCTTTAAAGTGGGGTGGATTCTGATTGGCTATCAATGTTTTTATCATTAATCAGCTAGAGAAAAAATGTTCTGAAAGTGATTCCAACAATATTGTTCCTGTGTGACATGAATGATACCAAACGATTCCAGTAATATTGTTTCTGTGTCTTGCTAATGGCCCTTTATACAACACAGCACACTGGTGGAATCCAAAATCACAGACTTCTCAACTATATAGTAGGCGAAAAACAGTATGTGACAAGAGAAGTATCTCCGAATTCTAGGGGTGTAACTGTACAAGTATTTGTACCGAACATATCCAGTACGGGTCTTTTGGTTCGGTACGCATGTGTACCAAACAAATACTTTGTTTTAACCACTAAACGGGTGGAACTTCACTGGAAACTTCCAGTTTTATATATTGCTATTTTTGATAAGAAACAAATTATGTCTCATTTTCAAATTATGTAATTTTTTTCAGGAAATGCAAACAATAAATGCCGTTTTGATGCTCTTTGATGTGGCGAGACAGGTCGCTGTATAAACGCCTCAGTTCAAACGGCAGTGCGGAGCGCGAGTGAGTGTGATCATCCGTTCCACTTTACCACTAGTTTTAATGCGAAATAAACATGAATGAACTTATGCCTCATGTAATAGTTCAATCTGTGTTTCAACCACGGCAAGATGTCAATAAAACAGCTTGTAAACAAAATGTCACGTAACATTTCATTTATCTCAGGCAAGTCATCAGTGTCCACAGCTCATTAGTTCACTAGAGACATGTGCGAAGAAGAGCATTTCGCGAAATATTAGACTATATACTCATCACATTTTATTTTACCTGTTAATTATGCCTTAATTATTTAATAAATAAATCTAAAAAAATTTTTGTTGCAACTGAATTTATTTAAAGAAAGAGCAATTTGTTCAGTTAACCACTGTTTAATAAAAAAAGCTGTTTTATGTTTATTTTTTTCCCCCTGCTGTACTGAAACCATACCAAACCATGACGTCAAAACCAAGTTACGTATCGTCATGTTTGTGTACCATTACACCCCTACCAAATTCACAGTACCCATAAAAAAGTAGACAAAAAGTACCCGGATGACCTACTACTACCGGCGTGATTCTGAAGTGTGCATACGACGGACACTTTACTATCCCATGAGGCCACGGGAGAGGATTTATGAATGGCAGTGACACTGGTAGGTCACATGACAGTAACAACATGGTGAATGTAGTACGTTCAGATTACATTCATACTATATAATAGAACATACAATTTTGCGGACGCGAGGTAATTACTTATTCAAAAAAGCAACTACTCAAGAGTATGCAATTTCGGATGCAGCCACGGTATAGAATAATGTATCCCACAATGCAATGCATTTGACTTTAACTTCCACTTTCTGTTAGATGAATGAACTGGAAGTAATAAAAAACTGTAATGTTTATCTGTTCTTGACTCACTATTTGAATCATACATTTTAACACAGGTCAATGCAGCATACTGCACAAGGTGTTCTGTTACACTAACTATTTTTAACAAATATTACATAAACAATATTGCACTACTGTACAGCATTTAGGATGTAGTAATCTAGTACTTCAATCCCAACGTGAGACTATTTCAATCTTCAGACACCCAATCATCTTCAAAAACTTATCCCTCTGCAAATTCAAACCCAATTAAGAACAAACACATTTGCAGGAGGTGCAAAGGATGAAGAAACCTTCCAATTTGAACAATAAGTTCAGCTAAAATTAGCCTCATTTTTCAGAGAGTTTCTCATAATGCCGTTAACGTGCCGAGAGGGGAGATGGAATTGCTGTTCGGGTTTAGAGGGAGTCAGACAGGAAGATGGATCATTGTATTTCTGTTTCTCCTCAGCCTACAGCTTCTTCTCACATGCAGGCACATGCACGTTTACTTGCAATATCACAGACTTCTGTTGTAAAGCTAATTAGAACTACTAGAATATTGTTAGTATAAAAAACATTGTTTACTTAATTTACGAGCTGTTTTTCCAAATGTTTTTATTTAGCCCACTTTTGGAAACAATTTCGTCACACAAAAACATGTTTTCTTCTGATGCTGTTATAGTGGCTGTATTACCATCTGTGCAGCATGCAGGTCCATCAGCTCTATCTGATCACTCATGTCCCAGTTTAACTCATATTGCATCTCTGCAGGCACTCTTCCCTGCTGGGAAACCCATTAAAAACCAGCCTCTGATGATAGATGTATCCAGCTGGAAAGCTGATCTTTTATGCTTACTAACAAGTCCAAGCTGGTCTAGATGGTTGATCAGAAAAAGTATGAGTAGACTTCTGGTAGGAGCTTATTTTAGTATCAGAGATAATATTATAGTTTTTATTAATATTTTGAATTAGTTTTTATATTTATGTTTTCTGTTTTCATTTTAATTTTAGTTAATGTTTTTGTGATTTTATAAAAAAAAAAAAAAGTAGTTTATATATTTTTTTTTCTTAGTAGTTGTATTAATTTTTATATCAGTTATTTAAGTACATCAAGTTAAACAAAATGAAAATGAGAAATATTGCCTTGGCAACTTACTGAAACAAAATAAGTTTAATTTTTTTGATATTTTATTTTATTTCAGTTAAAATATATTTTATTTAAAGCTGCAGTCTGTAACTTTTTTTTGGTTAAAAATGATCCGAAATCAATATTTGAGCGAGTACATAGCCAGCCAGTGTTCAAAACTATTGCCTTACTTTAGCCCGATTCACAACGGTTAGCTTATAATAATGTTTTCTCGTTTTCGCGGGAAATTCGAGCATGGCACTGCGTCATTACGTCACTTCTGTAAACATAAAGAAGTTGTCCCGTCTACTAGGCTATCACATGTGAGGATCCTGCAGGTGACGGATCGTTTATAGCCTTTTCTCACAGCAACTAGAATAATTAGATGTATCATTTTGATGGAGGATTGTAATCCAGAAAGGATTATGTGTTCATGAAACACATGTGACATAAAGGATTATGTGTTTATGAAACACATGTGAATGAAATGAAATTATATTCCAGTTATAAATGTGCTTCTGATTACAGATAGATTAGATTAGACTGTGCAGAAATTTAAATCTACAGGCTAATACACACTATACTCATAGTCACCAATACTGATGTTGTTAACATTAATCATTTGAGAATAAAGTATAACAATAATAATAATTTGAACGGTTTGATGT